AGTTAAGCCAGGTCTTTAACTCGTTGACGCATGACTATAGAGATGCAGTCTGGTGAACAGAATCAGGTCGGCAAGCAGTGTATATCTAAATATCGTTGACACAGCAGTGGTACTGAAAACCATGGCAGCAAATAATTTGTCAGAGGGGCATAATGTAAATAATAAATAATAGTGGCCCTAGAACTGAGCCCTGTGGCACACCCTGTCAGAGAGGGACAGTGGGAAATTTATAGTTATGCATGGTGATGTAGTATTGTCTGTCAAATAGGAGGAAAACTAGAATAACGCAACTCCTGAGATGCCAATCTCTGAGAGGCACACGAGTAATAGCTTATGACAGACAGTATCAAAAGCTGAGCTGAGATCGAGTAATACGAGTATGGAAAGACTGCCTGGGTCACCAGAAAGGAGGAGTTCGTTTATTACCCTTACTAGAGCAGTTTCAGTACTGTTGTGAGCAAAAACCTGACTAAAATATATAAAAATGATCGTTGAGAGCCAGAAATGACTGCAGTTGAGTGGCGACAACCTTTTCCATGATTTTTGCAACAAACGGTAGGTTGGAGATTGGGCGATAATTAGCGTAGCCAGTTGGGTCCAGATTTGGCTTTTTAAGAATAGGAGTAACAGCAGCAGTTTTGAGTGAAACTGGAACAGTGGCAGAGTTAAGAGACATGTTTACAAGATGTCAAATTGAAGCAGAAATGACAGAGGTTCAGTGTTTCAAAACGAATGTTGGTGCAGCGTCAAACAGGCATGAAGAAAATTTGGATTTCTGTATTATTTCACTGGGGTTAGTCAAGGAGAAGTTAGAGCATTTGGATAGCCGAGCCTGCTCACAAGCTGAAGTGGTCAGTTCAGCACCAAATGTCCCACCATAAAGCATCCAGCTTACCCTGAAAATGGTCTAAAAAAGCACAGCACAAGTGATCAGATTATTGTAGACAGGTGAAGGACATGCAGGAGGAGCACAGCGAGCTGGTGACATGACCATCAGAGGTCTGAGAGACGTTCCTGCTGTTCCACAAATCTCATGCCATACGCTCAGCTGCTCGACGGCCGGTGTTTAGGCCGCTGATGGAGCTCGGCTCCGGCATCTTCCTTCACCTCCAGCAGTCGTGGTGCTGCTGCTACTCATGCTGGTCCTCACAGCACTGCGTTTACATTCAGTGTGTGGAAGCGCTCGGGGGTTTTCTGCTCTTTCATGCAGTGGAAAACATTTAAAGTGAACTCACCCAGCCGCTCCATGAGAAGGGGACGTTCTTCTGCTGTCTGCTACAGAACATCAACAGTTTTGGAGAAAACACCTGCCAGCATCTGCTCAGCTTTCTCAAAACACTGCACTAGTGTTCAGTGCTGGAGATGATGCAGATATTCAGCCTGTGAAACACCAGCTCAATGCATTTCTGGGTCAAACAGGTTTGTTTGTACAAACCATTCACACGTGTTCTGCTCATTCAAGAATGAGGCCAATTATGTACAAACACTGCAGTTCATCTTTGATACAGATTTAATCCACACTGAATGCTCATCATTTACAGGGGGCCTGACATGCCTGTGCTATTGTAACATTCACGTACATGCACTAAAGTCTTGTGCACATAAACGTCAATAACATCTAACACCACTGGATAAGGAAAAAGTATTGCACGTGAGTGTTTTGAAAACATCCGTAAATATAAAACCATTATTTATCGACAAAGCATTACGAAGCTTTGTGATGCAGTCGCAGTCGGATTTTATACAGTTGGCATCATTTTTATCAAGTTGCTTTGTGAACGTTGCATTAAATTGCAATTACAAAACACTCATGCAACACCCATGTCTCGACCCTTTTAACATCTGCTGTTCAGACAACCAGTGTTTTTCAGTTCAGAAGAATGTGTTCTTGTTTATTTTACACCATGAGGTCTACAAAACAGTCTATTACTAAAAATAATGAGTAAGTATATAACTGCAGTACAAATAAACTACATTACCCATGATGCCATCTTCCCACCGCTCCACAGAGGCAACTGTAGCCATCGACATACTCTCTTGAGTAGGTTATTTCTGAATAAATAATTGCATCGCGACCAAAAGAGTACGTTCTATATAGTATGAATGTTATCTGGATGTACTACATTCGTCCGTAGTATGCACACTTCAGAATCACACTGGAAGTAGCAGGTCATCTAAGTACTTTCTGCCTGCTCTTTTAGCAGTACTGTGAATTCAGACATACTTCTTACTTTTAATACCACCTTATATTAAATTTAAGACCTAAACCTGTAATGGAAGTACACATTATATTACATATATGTAATATTTAATGTGTTTAATGTAAAAAAAAAAAAAATCATCGCCGTTATAAATTTATGACTACGATATACAGTGAGCTTTTCATATCAGCAGACAATATTCCACACAAAATATCCCCACAAAGTACCACATAACTGAGATTTTTGGTGATGTAATAAATTATTCTGAAGCAATATTTTCATCAGTGTTCTATCAGCTTTTACATACTTAAATCTGCATATTTTTTATTTACCTTTATAAAGGCCTATTTTTTTTTTACTTTTTAAATGTATGCATCACCTTTCATGTCAAATTATTACAATATATCAATAAATTCTATAGGGCTGTTACTAATCAGATTAAATCATTTACACTGCAAAATTACAACTGCAATAAATAAGGTTATGAGATTAATGTTTTAAATACATTTATGAATATACAAACAAGAAATGTTGGGGGGAAATGCATATTTTTCAACATTAAGCTGCCAGTAGGTGGCGGCAAGTCACTTAATGAGTGAGTCATTGACCCAGAGGGCAACTGATGTCGAAAAGACATCAAATTGACAGCAAAATTGAAGTAAAAAAACAGGTCAAATATGCAAATCAAACTGACATCAAAAATTTGATGACGTTGATTTAATGTGAATTGAATGCCATGTTTATTGGCCTATATATTAGTGCTGTTGAATGATTAATCGCGATTAATTGCATACAAAACAGTTTTTGGTTGCATAATGTGTGTGTGAGTTCTGTGTATATTTATTATGTATACATAAATGCACACATACAGTACATATATTTTCAAATATTTACATGTCTACATTTACATTCATATAATTTATAAATCAATATTTTTAATATATAAACAACCTGCTTTTCTGAAATGTGACCCTGGAGCACAAAACGGGTCAGTTTCTTGAAATTGAGATGTATACATCATCTGAAAGCTGAATAAATAATATTTCCATTGATGTATGGTTTGTTAGGATAGCACAATATTTGGCTGAGATACAACTATTTGAAAATCTGGAATCTGAGGGTGCAAAAAAATCTAAATATTGAGAAAATCACCTTTAAAATTGTCCAAATGAAGTTCTTAGCAATGCATATTACTAATCAAAAATTAAGTTTTGATATATTTATGGTAGGAAATTTACTAAATATCTTCATGGAACATGATCTTAAACATTTCATCCTAATGATTTTTGGCATAATTTTTTTTTTTTGATAATTTCGACCCATACAATGTATTGTTGGCTATTGCTACAAATATACCCCAGCGACTTAACACTGCTTTTGTGCTCCAGGGTCACATATATACATGCATGTGTGTGTATTTATATATATACATAATAAATATACACAGCACATACATATATTATTGTAAACAAAAACTTTTATTTTGCATGCGATTAATCGTTTGACAGCACTAATATATATATACATTAAACCAATTTCAGTGTGGGATTTTCAGCCAATTACCACTAGAAGTAATCGCCATCCAAACTGAATTTAAAATGATGTTACAGCATCTTGATCACATCTTGACTAATATTTAACCTCAAATTGATATCAAGGTGCCCGCTGGGGAGTCACTGATTGTTCAAAACGCTGAATCATTCCGTAACAAAACACTGCCGAGTGTTGCTTGGAGAATGTGCAACACTTCTGCTGTGATCTTTGATTGGAACTACTGTATATTTGCAATCGTGAGAATATTCAGCAAAATATCTCCCTTGGTATGTTACTGATCTACATCATGTTACGAATAAACTACACATTCTGAATTTATACCTTGGTGTGTTACTTCTGAGTTTCTTTATGTGCTGTTACGCTCATTTTTTTGAAGTCTCTTACGAAGAGGCCTTGATACCAGAAATACACTATCCATTAGCAATCGCCGTTTATGTTGAATGTATTAAAATCAGAAGAATCATTATTTCGTTTCGATGCTTCGCTGGTTATTTTTTGCCGCTTAAGTTTTAATCAGGCTGTTTGTCCGGTCGGGCAAGTAAAAAAAAACATTTTAAAATAGCGCTGGTGGTCAGCTAGCAGTAGCTCGAGCTATATTTATTATTATTATTACTGAGAACATTATATACACAAAGAAGGTTGTTCGACTACCGCGGGGGGGAGGAAAAAACAATCTTCGGTCAGTCCAATGATTTTAAACAGTCATTAGGTCCGTCAGACTGAAGATATTTTAACGGTAATGTGACCAAAAATATTTAAGACCCATAAAATATGAATTTAAGACATTTTAAGAGTTTTAAGGAAACCCTGTATATAGTAGGGAAATGTGTGATTTCAGATGCAGCCATTGTGCTTGTAGATATATGGCCCACACTGACTAGATGAGCACAATATGAGATGTTTACATGAAAAGTAGGTCCCAAATGTCTTGAAAGATTCATCTTAATTGTAAGAACTTTATTTGTATGTCTAATTTTTTCTACTCTTTGTGCTACTACAAATTATTACTAAAACCACTTACTATCTGCACTGAAATTTGAGCATCTTTTTGCTCTTTCAGATTCATTTAATTCCTGATTTCATTGAACAGTTTCAGAGCTGAAGATGAATAAACTGTTCTGGACCGATGCTTTCTTCTGGCTGTTTAGTAGTTCATCATGTAAACTCAAACATGAGGCTGAACATGATTGTGCTTTAGTTTAGACATAAGTATCACAAAACTCAAAACGCCACATTTAATGTTTATTTAAAATATTTGACTGCAGTGCAGTAAAAGCATGATAATATTCCATGTGTTACTATGTCGTATAAAACAGGCATTTTTATTTAAAAACAATAAAAGAGCAAGAGCGCAGAACGAATGAGACATATAAAAGGTTTAGAGAAGTGATGAACAGACAAACCATCAGAACAAACGAGTGATTGTCGGAGTATCTGCTCTCCTCACGCCGTCTCGATCTCACGCAGGACGATGGTTTTGGGGTTGATGGCCACGTTCTTGGTGGTGTTGTGTGTCTTATAGATGCCGATGAGACGGTTGGCCATCTCAAACATGTTGTTCCTCAGGGAGATGATGATGAACTGAGCGTTCTTGGTTTGCTCCTGCAATAATGTGGGAAAATTCAGCAAACGTGTTAGAATTAGGGGGGCAAAAGCAGAAAAGCATTGTATTGATTTTCTGTATAACTGACGGTAGTTTTCCTGAACTTGTTCAAAGCAGCAATGACTTCCTTGTAAAGTTGGTGTACTTTGTATTTCTCTCGCGCTCATGTAACGGATTAAAGCGTTCACTGCAAACGGCAGTGCGTTCAGGAGCGGTGCGTCTGCAGCAGAGCAGAGATAGTTTCTGCACCGAGTTTATGTTTGCAACGCTGCAAGCGAAATTTTCTAAAAAATGTTCAGTCAAAAGATTTTTTTTGCTTTAACCCCTGCAATATAATAAGTCGAATAAGACAAATAAGTTACCAATCATATGAAATTAGTATTAATAAATTAATTTGTACTACAGAGGTGGCACAGAAGAACACAAAAGTGGCTTGTAGGTATATTTTCAGACGTTTAATGAGGCTCAGAGGTCGCATGAGTGCAATTAAATTAATAAATTCATGTGGAGATTAATGTTTTAAATATTAAATATTGAATACAGAAATGATTCAAATAACTGAAATTATACGCTAAAAATGAAACTAAATCCACCAGCAGGTGGTGGTAAGTCACTGATTTTATCACTGAATCATTCATTCAATTGATTCGGATTTTATCACTGAATCATTCATTCAATTGATTCGTCCCAACAGCTGAATCATTCAGGAATGAAGCAAGTGTCTGTCTTTATGAACTGACGGAAAACTTTAATCCCCGAATTGTACTTAACATTATTTTATTTATCCATTATACTGAAGAGACCTTTTTGAATGATGTTGTTTTATTTGTTTTGTAATTTTGAGGTGTTCAGTTGTATTTTGGTTTTAGAAAATAAACGTGATTGCTCTCCTCCCAAATCAACTCTTTCTTGTTTTAGTTTCATGTTCTCTGTGCCTTGCCCTGGACTTATGTCACTTCCTGTCTCTCGTGGTGTTTGTAGTCAGTTTGTAGTCCGTTTGTTCATTGGTTCCCCTTGATTAGTCTCCCCAGGTGTGTCTTATCTTGTTCAGCTTGTTAGCCCCCTGTGGGTATATATAGCCCTAGTGTTTCTTTAGTTCCTTGTGAGTTGTTGAATGTAATGGTTGTCTGTTTGCCAGTCATTCTGTTCTTTGTTCCCTTTGGTTTTTTCCTTATTGTTTGTTCTAGTTTTGCCATGAAACACCAGCACATAGATCCTTGCCTCTGCCTGTTTCCCGCAGCTTCTCCACAACATTACAGTTTTTCACTAGCATGTCTCTTTGAGCCTATATTTAGTATAAGTAAAACACTTAAGTACTGTTAAAATCAGATACTCAGACTTTTACTCAAGTTGTTTTGGAAATGGTGACTTGTAACGTGTAGTGGAGTAATTTTCACTGTAAGGTATCTGTACTTTACTCAAGTATGGTGTGTAGTTACTCTTCACACCTCTGCTTGTGAGACGCGAGTGCAGCAGTTATATTTGTCCGTCTAAAAAATGCACTGAATATGCATCTGTGTGAATGGCTTGGTTTCGGTTCTAACCTAATCAAGATCTTCTATGCATTGAGCTTTTATATTTCTATAATATTTTGAATGAATAATGCAGCAGCGGCGCGTCTCGTGGGCTAGACTAACAAAACATTAAAATGCAACGTCACTTACGTTTACACTTTTTTTCTATCATTATTGATGAAGGTCTACTGTCGATAAATATACCGTACCGTATGATACCGTTTTTAGGGCCCTTTGATTTTCGCGATGCAGAAAACGTGGACGGAATTGCGGAATCCAGTTATAAGAAAGGAATTTACAGTTTAACGCGGAATGTCGTGGAATTTGCCAAAGTTGGGATGCATTAATCAAAAGTAGGTGATTACACTTCAATAAAATCACGATATGGACTAGTGTTTGTAAATATTAAGCCACAAAAAGACGATTTAAATATGAACCCTGTGTTCTGCGTGTCTGTGAATGAATGGCGCAGACGCGTGGTTTCGTTTACTACACACATACTGAAGCGTGTGACGCTCGCGGTGTTTTTAGCATCTGCGGTCTCTCTAATGAGGACATAAATACATGAACAACATCTCCAGAACTGCTCTGAGAGTCACTTCAGCAGCATTTTACCGTTTCATTTGAGTAAAACTAGCCTCATATCATACACACAGAAATGTAAAAGGTATTCACGGCAACCCGTCAAAATAAAAGTTCGGTTTAACTTGAAGACATTGGAACCCTGTGTTCTGCGTGTCTCTGTGAATGAATGGCGCAGACGCGTGGTTTCATTTACTACACACATACTGAAGCGTGTGACGCTCGCGGTGTTTTTAGCATCTGCGGTCTCTCTAATGAGGACATAAATACATGAACAACATCTCCAGAACTGCTCTGAGAGTCACTTCAGCAGCATTTTACCGTTTCATTTGAGTAAAACTAGCCTCATATCATACACACAGAAATGTAAAAGGTATTCACGGCAACCCGTCAAAATAAAAGTTCGGTTTAACTTGAAGACATTGTCTGGCAGAAATACATTACTATTGTCCAGCAGAATGCACGTAATTTTACTACTAAAATTATTAAAACCTTTTTTTTTTTAAATATATAATCATATTTCTTCAAAGGTTTAATTGTAATTGTAAATCCCCTTTATTTGCCAAAAAATTTAATTTGTTTAATTTTCATTAATGAAAATATAATTAAAATTATTGTTTTATGCCTTCATTTCATAACCAAAAAAATATTGTAAGAATAACTTAAACGTGTTTTTATGCATTCAAATAATTAAACCTGCTAAAACAGAATTTGGTAACAATAAAACATAAGGTGGAAAAACAATAAAACATTTCATAGGTAGGATTGGGTATCGAAAACCGGCTCTAAATATCCAAGAACTGGGTATTCAATAAGATGCGTGCATTTAGATTCTGCTTAACGATTCCTGCATTCGCATTTTAATATGATTTCACTGATCTTGACTGAATATATTTAATAACTTTAATCTACATTTTATTTATGAAAAGAAAACTATGCAATGTTTTACAACTTTTAATTACAGTTTCTGTACCTGAACTTTGGTTCAGTTGTATTTATGCTATTGCTAATTATTATTTTGTTCCGGTTTTATTACTGACCGTTTACTTGTCTTTAACACTTTAATATTTGAGATTTATATTAGTCTAGTTGTTTTTGCTGCGGTATTTTTGTTAAAAGCAAAGGCAGAAGTTCCTCTTGTAGGCCTAAATGTTCTGTAGGCTGCTGATTTTTGCTTCAGCTGCAATAGAATGCTTTGTAAGACGACAGAATAAATGTTTGACATCTGTATGTTTGACTTCATTTACTTTATATTGGATTTTTCTTATTGGAATCGAAACTAGGAATCGATAAGAACGATACCCAACCCTATTCCATTGGGCCCTAAACGTAATTTCTGTTAAACTTTTAATAAATTGATGTTAGGTTTAATTATTTTAATTAATGAGACATGCTTTTTGATTTATAAAATATAATTTAACCATTAAAACGGAGTCCAGAAAAATTAGCGGAAAAAAATTAAAACGGAAAAAACTGAATTTGGGAAAAAATAAAAAAGGATTTCATAGGGCCCTACATTTTATTGCCCAGGCCTACTAAATGCTAATGGACTTCTACTAACTGACAGATTTCCACTAGTATATTTAATTCAGTATTGAATAATAAAGGGTAGGCCACCCGTAGCCTGCCTGCGGTGACATCTCAGAAGACATCGAATGCTGAGCAACAGTTTTGTGTTCACTATAGAGAAAAATGTCTGGTCACATCATGTGAGTGTTAAGAGCCTTAACCGCAGGAAACAAGGCAGGTAAGTGTACATACGTATATGTAGCAGGCCACGATGGAGACGTTCTTGAAGTCGAGGGCAGCGTCGATCTCATCCATGAAGTAGAGCGGCGTGGGCTTGAAGTGATGCAGCGCAAACACCAGCGCCAGAGAGCTGAGCGTCTTCTCTCCTCCTGACAGGTTATAGATCTTCTTCCAGCTCTTCTTAGGAGGACGCACACTGGGAACGCACAGAAAACACCAAGCTGTCACGAGGATGGCTAGACTGGGACCATACACATCATTCACTCAACAGGTCTCACAAGAGTAAGACTTTAAAAAGTCTGGTAGCGTGTGATAGTCAGTCAGTGCGCGACGGAGGCATAGTTTTTCCTCTATAAACATTTGCAAGCCTAGTGTAGGGCCCTTTTAAAATCATGTTTATTTTTCCAAAATTCAGTTTTTGTCATTTTAATTTTTCTAGACTCCGTTTTAATGGTTAAATAAAATTTTATTAATCAAAAAGCATGTCTAATTAATTGAAAAAATGAAACACACAATTTAACAGCAATTTATTAAAAGTTTAAAAGAAATTGCTTTTTTCTCAAATTCGGTTTTATTTTTTACCAAATTCTTTGTTTTCCATTAATTTTCTAGATCCAATTTTAATGGTTTCATTAACTTAATTACAAGCATCTCTAATTAATTGATTAAATAAAAATTTTTTTTTCACATTTATTCAAGTTAAAACAAACCTTTTTAACTGGTTGCTGAGAAGTCCTTTAAGTTTCTGTTTGTATATGATGTGACAATAGTTTTTTTCTCAAAAGAAATGGCAAAATGCTCATGAAGTGACAGTTCTAGAGATCATGTTCATGTGTTCATGTACTCATCTATTGAGGCAGCAGAGGATGAAATCACCGTGCTTCAGTATGTGTAGTAAACAAAATCGCATATTTACACTGTTTGAATCGTTCCCTATCCCCTATATAGTGCACTATGTGCCATTCACTGTACAGAAAATACTAATCCTGCAGGATTAGTATTTTCTGAAAGAAAGATTAGTATTTTCTGAACAAAATGCGCTTCGGATTCTAGAGAGCATTTGATTGGTCAGAAAGTTTGATGAGAAGCTGAATTATGAGGTGACGTCCAAAAAAAATAGTTGATCCATTTTGGCCGAAGTGACGAACTGTAAGCTATGCATGCTTATATCTTCAAAATGTGAATTTTGTCACTGTTTCAGAGCACACTGGATTATAGATAACCTTAAGACTAACATATTGATACTAACACCCAAAAAACACACACACACACACACACACACACACACACACACACACAGTCAGTGGGCTGACGCCGTCATTCATTGGCTGACCACACCGAGTGGATCTCTGGTACCTTCTTCTTGAACTCTGCGATGGCTCCCAGGTTGGGCTTCATGTTGGAGCAGCGGTCCTCCAGCAGAGCGATCTCGTTCTTGATGACGTCTGGATTGCCGATGTCTTCCAGCTGCTCTGGGTTCAGTGCAGGCAGCTCTTCTTCTGGAGCTCCATCGATGGGGTGCAGCGACAGCCTGCTGGCCTAAAACACACAGGACTGTGAGCGCAGAGAGAAGACGGAAGCACACAGGCCAGTACGGGCTTCGACTGATTTAAACAAATAACACACAAACCACCCCATAGGCGAGCAAATCAAGATTGGTCTGGCTCAGGAAGAGCCTGCAGCACATGGCACAGGAATCAAACCCAATTAATTCAAATTTGATGTTTTGCCACCATTTAATTTTTTTTCACAATTTATATTCTAAAAATAACTTTTTAACTTGAGCGCAGCATTTTTAGAATGCCATTTCATGCAAGAGACGCGAGCGTGATGGTCAAACACGACCATTAAACGCATGTTTACATAGAAAACTGGAATGAAAACCCTGTGCAGAACTACTACTGTACGATATTTCATGTTTGCATGATGCTGTTATTTTCCGTTTTGACAAAACATTTAGAGTTAATAGTAGTCCACTGGTGTTATACTTTGTCATTTTGAATCTGAATAGCCTTGACTTTTTATTTTTGCATTTTTCTTATAATTTTGGAACCTATGATGCGTTTCAGAAATTTGTACAGTATGTGCCTTCATATCCCATGCATCTTTTCTGTAAAGATATTGTGATTTGTTTTAAATTTAAACTGCATGTGTGCTGCACTTGAAATAGAACTTTCTTTAACTAGATGGTTAAGAAGTAGTTACTTGATTCATGTTGTTGTTACGTTTTTTTTATTGACTTAAAAAAATAAATAAAAGGTTTTATATTTTGCCATATCACCCATCCTACCCTGCGGTCACACAGAACAGAAAACAGCAGAAAAGGACAAATGATACATGGAAATGAAATCCAATAAAGTTAAAAACAGACACTAAAGCTTGCTTAAATATCTCTCCTATGAAATTAGTCTACAAAGGGTCTTAAGGGAACTTAATGAGTGAGCTACATGATTATACATTGCTAGCTAAACATTACATATAATGCATCAGCTAAATCTCTGGGAATATACAGTCAATAGTCTGTTTCCAGATGTGTGTGTGTCTGTGGCTCAGTACCTCTCTCTCCCAGTGTTTGATCTTGTTGTGGCACTCAGCGATGGCCGTGTCGATGTGCTCCACCTTCAGCCGCACACTCAGAGACTCCTTCTGCAGCACATGCTCCTGCTCCTGTAGGGCCTTGATCTGCTGCAGCACTCCTCGATGCTGCTCCTGAACCTCCGGCAGAGCTTCCTACACACACACACACACTCAGACATCAGCACCGAGCGTCTTCACGTGTTCAGCGTCTGAGAGAGAGGATGAGACAGAAGCACCTCAGCCTGCTGGTACGTCTGCATGATCTCTCCCGCCGCCTCCTCCAGCTTCTTCAGCTGCTCCGTCAGCTCCTCCATCAGCTTCTCATTCTCTCCCATCTCCTTCTCCAGCTGAGACACGCTGTCCTCAGACTTCTTCAGATTACTAACACATCAGAAGACAACATTCACTTCAGAAACGAACCGACTGGCCCTCTACAGAGCTCGGTTCCTGATGCATCCTGGTGTATGCCATGCCTCATCTTATTCGTTTTTGTTAATAAACGTTTTGTAAGCTAGTTTGTCATTGTATCCTACTGTTTTATTGTTGTCGTGCTTCTTAATTAAGAATAACAATGAATCCATATTTTGTTTTAGTCTTAAAAAGAGAAAGGTGTGTAGATGTAAGTGAAAATGATCTCTTCTTGTAAAACGTGACAAGATTGCAAATTTGAAAGTGAAAGCATCCTAAGCCTGCGCTTATAACACAGCAAAAGAGGATCTCCCGTTCACAAAATTCAAATCACAAATAATACTACTAAGAAAAAAAAACAATTTAATTGCGACCAAATCATGTGCTCGTGCGACCAACTGAGAAAGTGGGAAGAATGAGTCTGGAGCCCTGCAGCAGCATACAGTATAATATGCAGTGCTGCTTTACATTACATTAACATTTAGCAGATGCTTTTATCCAAAGCGACTTACAAATGAGGAGAATAGAAGCAATCAAAACTAACAAAAGAGCAATGATATGCAAGTGCTATAACAAGTCTCAGTTAGCTTAACAGTACACGCAGCAAGGTTTTTTTTTTTATTATTATATAATAAAAAGAAAACTGATAGAATAGAAAAAGAATAGAGCAAGCTAGTGTTAAAGGCCTTTTTTGCTTTTGTTAATTGTATAATAAATAAAAAGAAAACAAATAGAATACAAAAAGATTAGAAAAGCTAGTGTTAGGTTTTTTCTTTTTTTTTTTTTAAAGAAAACAAGCAGAAAATGAATAAGAGTGCAAGTCTAAAAGGGACACTTTTTTTTTTAAGAATATAATTAGAATGCTAGAGTTAGAGGGTCAAATATAGATGGAAGAGATCTTCACAGAAGATTCTTTATGGAAGAGCGCTCTCCATTTGTCTCATTTATCTGAAGGGTTTATACCATACTTTTACATCCAGTTGGTGTAATTGTGACTCAGACCTCTTTTCAGATGTGAAACTGCCTCAAGTAAATAAAATAAATTATCTCAGGATCAACATTAGTGGCAGTGATTACTGACCGTCCAGCAGTCTTGATGGCCACCTGGGCTTTAGTGATGGCTGAGGAGCACTCGTCCAGCTGTGTGTTGATCTGGTCCAGTTTGTCCTGCTGGGCCTTCAGCTTATGGCTGTTGATGTCCACGATGAGTGTGTGCAGCCTCTTCACCTCCGCCTCCACCTTTCCTGCTTTAGTGGACTCTGCCTCAAAGTCTTCATGAAAAACAAACAAAAGAGACGCACAGATGGACCGGCCAACACATGAGACTGTGAAGCAGCATGCTTTTTGTCCATACAATACTGTCCAATGTTGAGTAGACCCCAATGTTCCTCAGAATGCCTTGTGTTTTCAGAAGAAAGTCATGCAGATATGGACTGACAGGACTCAGTGAATGATGTACAAACGCACCTTTCCTGTAGACCTCCAGGCTCTTCTCCATCTGTTTCTGCTTGGCTTTATCAGGAGCAGCGGAGATGACGTTGGCCTCCAGGTCTTTGATCTGAGTCTTGAGATGAAGCTCCTGCTCGGTCAGGCTCTGTAACACACATCACAGGTCAACCGAAGCCAGGGCTCTCACGTTCACGCTGATGTTTTAGCTGTGCTGTCTGACCTGGATGGTGGCCGTGTATTTCTCCAGCGTATTCTTCATGTCTCTCAGCTCACGTCTGGCTTTGTGCACCTTCTCCTCCAGCTGATGCTTCCTCTGCTGCCAGTCCTGCAGCTGCATCAGCTCTTTGTTCAACTCGCTCTCCATTTTATCCAGCTGTGCACAATCACACATCTTTAGCTAGTGATGCACCAACCGAAACTAAAGTTTTCTTTGTGTCGAAAACTGGAACTGAAAATGTTTATTTAATCAAATAATGGATCAAATTGAAAAATAAAGTCCAATAACAACAGTCTTGCAAAAAAATAAATACAAATAATTAAATTGCACATAATAGTTTTAAAAGTGCCACTGAACGAGCCGCATCTGGAAACACGTCCTGCGGTGCTCCACTGAAGAAGAGCCACATAAGTCTGAGTTATCATGTGATCTGACCTGCTCCTGAGTGACATCAGCACAGACCGAGGAGCCCATCCGGCCCTTCATCACTCGTCCTCCTCCTCCAGTCATGGTACCTGAGGGTGAACGTGAGAGCGAGCTCATTACTGTCATCCAGACACACACATGTAGAGCCACGTGATTCCACAACGCAGACAGAATCCAGTCAGAAAAATGGAATTCGTATAAATCTTCACTACAACCTGCCAAAATAAAAGTTTGGTTTAACTTGAACAAATTATAACAGAAATATTACTAATTGTACAGTAAAATGTACTTCTCAATGTTGTTAAAACAATTATAATACAATTTTAATTTGATTGCATTTTAAAATAATAAATTTCATATTTTATGCCTTCATTTAATTAACATCGTTTCAGATCATTAATTGGTATTAAACCAAATCCAAAAATATTAAAACTGACAACACAGAATTGCTGAAGAAATAAAGCATTTCATAAGGCCCCAATTGTTAAACTTGTTAATTCCAGTGTTTCCCATACATTGATTTATTTGTGGCGCCCGTCACAATATCAAAACTGACCGCCACAATAGATTTCCCAAAAGGCTTTGACTTTGTTGAATAACCATTAACATTGCACATTTCAAAATCGAATGTGGGTGTTTTTATATCACTGTATTTCTGAAGGAAACCGACTGTCTTCAGGAAATTTTCGATGTCATTTTCATTTCATCTTTCATGTAATGTCTGATAAAGCAGCGTTTGCGAGCGCAGCACTGCTTTGTGTACAGCGCTACCGGGGAAACCTCTATTTCTCTCGCTCCAACAGCGCCTCCTGCTGGCAGAGAATGAATTTGCATATACATGCCGCCACAGACAGAGTGCAAGTCTGTGGGAAACACTGAATTAATTTAATTCATTAATAAGACCTTTAAAACAATCCACAAAGAAAGAAAACACAGGAACAAACATTTCATAAGGCCCAAAAACTGTAATTTTTGTTAAACTTTTGATTAAAAAAAAGAGTCATGAATTTATTAGACCTTTTGATTACTAATATTTAATCTTACCATTAAACATAATCCAGAAGAACTGAATTTGGGAGAAAAAATATATTTCATAGGGCCCTAGAATGTAATTTGTTATTTTTTTTAATTAATTGTTGAATTAGATGCTCTTTTTGATTACTTGTATTTATTTTAACCATTAAAACGTAACCCAGAAAAACTGGAGCTGAATTGAGTAGAAACTAAGAATGCGTTCCTAGTGCTCTAGAGATGGGAGTAAACGGACCGGCCTGCTCGATGATCTGCCCCTGCAGCGTGACCACCCTCCAGCGCTTGTCCTTCTGGAACGCCACCCGCGTGGCCTGCTCCAGGTCTCTAGCCACCAGCGTGTCCCTGAGAGCGAAGTAGAACGCCGGCCGCACGCTCTCGTCCTTCACGCGCACCATGTCAAACAGACGAGGGATGCTCTCCGGAGTGGAGATGGAGCCCATGCTCTGCTGCCACACTTTCATCTGAACAACACCAAACACCATCAGCACTGGACTCCAGCTCTGAAATGAGGTCCAGCAAGCAATGTCCTTTCCTCACCTTGTCTAGGCCGATGAATGTGGCCACACCGATGTTCTGGGTCTTCAGGAACGTGACGCATCTCTGCGCCGTGTCAATGGTGTCCACTAAGATATTATCCAGCGAGCCGCAGCTGGAGGAGATGGCCACGTCGTATTTCTCATCGACAGCTCCCAGATCACCCTGTTGAGAGGAACATGACCCTGTTTATCTACACAGAAAGGGTGCTTCTCAATATCCCTCGTTTCCTCTGACCCAGAAACCGATCGAGCTCGGCCATCTTGTAGGACATCTCAATTCTCTAATTACACATTAACATTTTGAAATGCTTCACCGTGGTGTACAATTCTTGCTTACAGAAAATTCATATTTACATAACCCAGAACTTTTGCAAACTTTTATTGTATTTTGCTTTAGTAAAAACTGTGTTCTTGCAACGGTTTATTAATTATTATTGTTGTACAGGACAAAAATGTATGCCAAATTACAACAACTGTAGTAGCATAGTTGCAGAATTATATCAAAGCACAAGAAAAAGAAAGAAAATTAAACAAATTGTAATACTATACAACAAATAAAAAGCAGTTAATAACTGAGAATAATTAATTGTTAATAATAACAACTGGTAATATTAAAAAAAATGGACAAATGTGGTATTTTGTGGAGGTTAAAAGTATTACAATATAAACGATTATCTCTAATGTTGAAGAATCCCGACATGCAAGCTAAATCCAGCGGTGTCGGGTCATCATTAATCGACGACGCTTTGAAGTGACGCTAAAGGGAGCGAGGATATATAATTTCACTCCGTGTCCTTCCCTCGCATCCCGAAGGGTGGAGCTGAGACGCGAGGAAAGGAAACGAGGAAGCACAAATAAGAACTGAGAAGCAACCAAAGACGTAAGGGACGTACCAGCCGTCCCAGGATGCCCGGGATCTTCCCCGAGCGTTTCTGCTGCATGAGGGAGTCCAGCACTTTGTTGCGGCTGCGGTTTGTGGACAGAGAGCTCTTGGCTTCAGCCACCTTCTGTCTCATGTCTCCAACCTGCAGCCGCTTCTGCTGGTCCTGCTCAGAGATCTGCTCCAGCTCCTGCTCGTCCTGCAAGACAAGCATACAATCTCACAACCAACGCCACATACATCCACCAGCTATGTCTTTCTAGGGTCCAGTCAAGTATTTTACACAAATCTGATAATCATACACTGCCCTTCAAAAGTTTGGGATCAGCAAGATTTTTAATGTTTTTTGTTTTTTAATGGAGGCTCTTCTGCTCAACAAGGCTGTATTTATTAGATCAAAAATACAGAATGAAATATCATTGCACTTTCTAGTATTGGTTTCATGATCCTTCAGAAATCATTCTAATATGCTGATTTATATATCAATGGTTTGTTAAAGCAATAAGCCCCGTGAAGCCATGGTTTACAGTGAATTTATAACAGCTAAGGGGCGTTGTTAGGCACGTTATGTCAGTTATTCCAAAAAAAATTATTACGGTTAAAACGGTTATTCCATATACGTAGTAAGGTTTCACAGAATAAAACAGAGCAAATAAAGTGTAATGATATTAATAAAAACAGTATTCTTCCACCAAACAATGTAGCTCCTCAGAAACAGTTGTGGTTGCTACAAAGTGGTTGCCGAGCAACACACAAACGTAAACAAAGGTGTATGTTACTTTGTAGAGTCATTTACAACAGCTTCGAACGTGGCTCAGCCAATCAGAATCAAGGACCGGAACTATTCGCTTTATAAATATCAATATATCACTGTTGAAACTTGTACTGTTTAATATTTTTTTCGGAACCTGTGATACTTTTTTTCTTTGATTCATTGATGAATAAAGTTAAAAAGAAGAGTATTTATTCAAAATATAAATATTTTCTAGCAATACAAGTCTTTATCACTTTCATCACCTTGCTGAAAACAAGTATTAATTTCTTAAATAAATAAATAAATAAATAATTTACTGACCCCAAACTTTTGAATAGTAGTGTATATTGTAACAATTTCCATTCTGAATAAACACTGTTCTTTTTGACGTTTAAAAGAATCCTAAAAAAAAGCATCACAGGTTCCAAAAAATATTAAGCAGCGATAACTCTTTCCAGCACTGATAATAAATCAGCATATTAGAATGATTTCTGAAGATCATGTGACACTGAAGACTGGAGTAATGATGCTGGAAATACAGCAGAAATAAATTACATTGTAAAGTATATTAAAATAGAAAACTTATTTTAAATTGCAATAATATTTCACAAAAATACATTTTTTTTTCCCTGTATTTTTGATCAAATAAATGCAGCCTTGATGAGCATAAGAAACGTCTTTAAAAACAACATGAGAAATCTTGCGGAGTCTTCACACAGACCGTCTTGAGCTGCTCCTCACACTGAGGTATTCTGACGTTGAGGTGCTTGATGGCGGCTCTCCTCTCTCTCAGCGTGTCCACAGCCTCCTGCAGAGCGTCTTTGGCCTGGTTGAGCTGGCTCACAGCCGTGTTGTGCTGACTCAGGTAGATATCCGACAGCTGCCAAAACACGACGGTCTGAGCAGCAGACGACACACAAATACTAAAGCATCAGGCATTATTCAGGCTTTTAGAGGGATGAAAAGGTCTCACTTCTCCACGCCCTTCAGCTCCTCGTTCTTGGTCTTCATTTCTTCTGTCAGCTGGCTGCTTTTGTCACTCAGTTCCTTTGTGTCCTCCTGAATCTGCTGTTTCTCAGCTTCTTTGGCCGACACGCGCTTCTGTAGATCATGCCTGCAGAAACACAACTCAACACGTCACTCTGAATAACCAAACATTCCACATCTCTGATGGAGCAACACCACAACGCCATTACTAAGGACCTAATTCACTGCACACAGTGTGAAATCATTGAGTTTGTAGTATGCTCTGAACTGAAGCTGTGTCACTCAGAGTTGTTCACAGGGGTGCGTGTGTCTTACACGTAGAACTGACAGAGCAGGTTCCTCTTCTTAAAGATGTCATTCTCTAAGCTGAGGAACTCCACGGCTTTATTCTTCTCTCCCTCCAGAGCGCTCTTCTCCTTCTCCACCAGCTTCACTCGATTCAGCTGCACACAAACACACATACTACAACTGACACGGTTCACGAAACACAGCAAAATCACGGTTTACCTACAGGGTGATTAGATATGAACACCAGTGCACCAGTGATGATGTCCTTCTCCAGCCGGTACCATACTGGCTGCTGTAAATCAAAACGAGGTTCCTGATCTTTCTAATATCATGATGATCCTCACGTAAGCAGAGGCACAGAGGAACCCAGGGTTCAATCTCACCAGACGATCCACTAAATCTTGCATCAACTACAATTGACACCAAATAAGACTTAACAAAATTCCTCTTCAATTCTAAACCTAAATTTGGATTAAAGCGTTAAAAAAAAAAAAAAACTCAAGAGTATCAACAGAACAAAACCATTTTCTCAGAAGAGTAGCACTATTGCAATCCAATAAAATGTTTGACAGACAGTGAGCTCTGCTGAGTGTAAATGTGTCTTGTGTGTCCTGCATCATGTGTAATTCACTTATTTTAAGAGCTAAAGTAAATAAGGTAAATCTTCTGTGCAATCCTCGTCTGTGTTAAGCAGCATAGTAGGGCTGGGCGATTTTATCGATTAATTTGAATGTAATGTTTTGCCACGATTGAATATTTTTGAATAGAAATATTACCAAACGTACGAATTAGACACTTAAACAACATGCCAATAATAACAGTAAAAAAAAAAGAATGAAAAACATGCAAGAAGATGGGAGTGAAGTTCTTTTAACTTGAGTGGCGTGTTTTTAGAAAGCCGGTTCATGCCATGATTGCATAGAAAAACAATGGAAAAGCAGCACAATCGAATACAAAACCTGTAACTACTACTGTATGTCTGATATTTCATTTTTGCATCATAGTGACAGGCTGAAAGCTGCTGTTGTTTTTACAGAACATTTATAGTTAATAATAGTCTACTGGTGTTATACTTTGTCATTTTGAATTTGAATTATCTTGACTTCTGAGATTTTTTGAAGCATTTTCCTCGTATTATTTCTGAGCATATAATATGTATAAGACAAGTTTGTACAAGATGTAGTTTACATCATGTTGACAACTTCATGTGTGCTGCACTTGGAACAGGATTTTCTTTAACTAGAGGGTTAAAATAAAGAAAAAGTTACTTGAAACATGTAGTGGTTACATTTTTATAGTAATAAAAATCATTTAGTTCAGTTAGAGAACAGACACTACGATTAAAAACTGAGCAGATCAGATTTCATTCAAGAGTGAAGCGAGACAGACAAGAGTTTCAAACCACATGCAAAAGCACCTGTTTTAAAAATATTTTGGATTTTGAAAAGCCTGTTGACTTCTGCCATTTATCTAAGGTGATATTGGAAATTTTTTTAAAACATTCGTTTCTTATTTATTGGTTCCACAATGTTTACTGATCTTCAGTTTTGTATACCTAAACTTTGTGCAAGTTACTTGTTATTTTACATTAGGCATATAGCATGGTGTATTTTTATTTGTTTTGTTAATAAAGGTTCTATGTTCTACGTTGTATTTTGTTGTTGCTTGAATTGAATTCATGATGACCTCTGAGACTCGTTCAGTAGCTTGGATTGAATTCAAGCAATTGACGCAGAATTGCCGCGAATTTGAAAGTGAAAGTAAAACGCGCACGGCTCTTTTACAAGCCATTTAAAACGCATACGGCCGCATACGATCACATGCTCAGTCAGTATTGTTGTACCTTCTCTCCGCGCTGCTCGTTCAGTAGCTCCACCCGCCGGCACAGGATATTAATGGGCTCTTTGAGACGACAGGAGCCGATGATGTCCTCCAGGTACTCCAGCATGCCCTCATCGTGCTCCGTCTGTCCTTTGGGCTTCATCATGGCAATCTGCTCCACCTCGCCCTGACAATGACACGACACAACAGCACTTACACACACACACAGAGTCTGATGCACCTCTCATCTCCACACAGATTTAATCAAGGCTGAGCAGTGAGATGTTAAACAGTCCCTACATGTCACCTGCAAAAGAATCTGCTATTCTGTTGCAAAAGCAAACAAACATGGAGTAATACAAAAATACTAGGGATGCACGATATTATCAGACAGATATCGGAATCGGCCGATAATGGGTTTAAATGTAGATATCGGCATTGGCCCGATATGAAAAAGTATGCTGACATGTCTTGCTGATAAGATGAATACATTAACTCGCATGTGCTCAGGGTGTGCTAGCGATTAGATCACGTCAGCAGTGTGGCTCATTCTGGAAGCAAAGTTTTGCCTGAACGGTGATTACATTCACTGTTGTAAGATCGCTGCATTTAAACTGAGAAAGCAGTACAGAATGCGTTCGGTGTGTGATCGAGTAAACAGTAATAGCACGTGCAGTGGGTCCTCACGCCCCTTCGGTAATGAGTTTTAATCTGTAGGGGGCGCTGTTGGCCTACTTCTAATAAAATGAAAGCAAAATACACAAATAACATTTAGACGGTTTCTGATTAAAGCAGTAATTGATGTCATAAAATCATGAGTATGTTTTGATTTAAAGGTCAGAAGCTATCGCATACATGAATAAAAAAACAAAAAAAAAACAAACATGACACTTGTAAATTAAATAATTTTATATATACTGATTTATTCATTAATGTGTAAGATGTTATATTTTTTAAACAAATTATGAGCTTTTCAGAATTTTTACAACTCTTTTGCTTTAGACCATCTACAAATGTTAAATCTTAAAATAAAATGTAAAATAAAATGCAGCGATTGATATATAGTTTATTTAGTTATTTTCAAAGCTTCAATGTACTGTGAGTCATTATAAAAGAACTTCATTATTATTTAATTCTAACAAATAAGTTCTTGTAAAAAAAAAAAAACTAACCAAAATTACAAATAATTTGCTTATGATTTCCACACACGAGAGACTTGGTGTTTTTTTTCCAAACTAGGGCTGCAACTAACGATTATTTTGATAATCGATTAGTTGGTTGATTATTTTTCTAAATCTTTTTTATTTTATTGACAAAAAACACTATTCCACATTCTGCCTAATGTCCTTCAAACAAACGTGCCAACTGAATGCTATGAAAACATACAGTGCTTAATTTATTAGACCCCCTGTCATAAAGAGAAAACACATTTTAGGAATCCGTCAAAAAATTGTTTAAATAAAACATTTTTTTATTGTCATTTATTGGGCAAATAAACTTAAACTAAATAGTATTTATTCACATAACAAAAACGGCCTCCTATGCCCTTCATAGCTTGCATTCTTGCTGGCATTGTTTATGTACTTTTTGACTGCAACTGGGTATCTGAAAAAAAAAAAACACTATAAAGCTCTCTGCCTTTCTTTCATAGATAACAGCAATAATTATATTATAGCATTAGAAATAGCCTACTACTGTTACTAAAGAGCTTACGCATATTGGAGGACTAACCCATACAGAAAGCTAAAAATTACTTTGGTAATCACCAGTACTGTTAGTTTAGAGCAGCAGTGGCACAAACCATAATTTGTTAAAAACCTTACATACATTTGTTTAAATACATTTAAGCATTGTATATAGTGAATATAGTTTAAAACTCTGAATTAAGAATTAAAAATTAAAATAATAAAGATGATAAAGACGAATAAAATCAAACTCAGTGGTAACCAATAGGTAAGAGTAATGTTCTGCAGGAACACACGTTCAACTTTGATCACAGTCACGTCTTACTGTCATTTCTTTATCCTATTAAAGGCAGTTATGAAGCGTCTGATATTTATATTCAGACAATTACACGCTGTTATCCCCTTACAGTTCCTACTCTCATAAAATACTCGCAATGCATGTTGACCTTTAAACCTTAATTTAACTTTCAACAACAGATATTTAAGCACAATGAATGTTTTTGTGCTGATTATTAATTGTCTCTGTTTTCCGTCTGTCTGATGCGCGTGTACGCGCCGGCGTACCGACGGAACATGCTACTAGGGATGCACCGATACCACTTTTTCCAGTACTCGCCCGATACCGATACGTTTATTTTTGGTACTTGCCGATACCGAGTACCGACACTGATATTTTTATTGCATTTGTAAATTTTTATAATATTGGGTACAGAAACCAAAAGGGTATGTATAATGTTAGTTGGTTAACTTCATTTATCAAATAGATACAGTCAATTTTTGCGCCGAGGATGCACACGCATCATCTGTTAAAGCGCCTGACAGGGCAAGCCATTACGCTAATGCATTAGCTAAAGCTTAAAATAAAGAATTCTCATGTTTTGGGCAGCTTGGATCACATAACTCTCCCGCAGCATCTCATTCTGTTGCCTACACTATTTTAGATGCATTCTGTCCATAGAAATGCGTAATTCAGAGCTGTAATTTGACGCAACTGGCTGAAGTTGGACATGCCGTGCTCTGTGGGCAGACCCGATTAATCGATAATGAGAATCGTTGTCGACGATTTTCATAATCGATAATTGATTTTATCGATTAGTTGTTGCAGCCCTATTCCAAACAAAAGGAAATATATCGGTATCGGCAATGGTTATCGGCCAAAATTATTTGAAAATATCGGCATATCGGAAAAAAATCCAATATCGTGCATCCCTAAAAAATACTAGATATAAATTATTTTAATCATGCACAAACCCTTATTGCACTGCAATTAACCATTAACCAGTATTTCCCATTAATTAGTACCTAGACTGTGACAACCCACCACAGTTCATATGAAAATTAGTGCCGAGCAATGATTAATCACATCCAAAAATATATTTTATGCACATGTGCATGCTTATTATGTATATATAAAGACAAATAATCTATATATTTTTTAAATATTTACATGCATATATTTATATTCATATTTTATAGTTAACATCACAAACCATAAATTATTTTTCTTCGATATATACATGCATGTATGTATATTTATTTATATATATACACACATACCGGTTCATTCCGAATACCGGTGTTTATTTTTCTTATATGAATTTTTAAAATACCACAATACCGGTGTATGTCGTTTAAACAACGTTCGGAACACTGTTTGAGAGGGGTCCCTTTTCACTGGTGCAAGGACACAGCTGTATGTGTTACTAAGCGTGAAAGTTCCGAAACTGAAGCTGTAGAACTAATAGAACGTGATGACAAAGAAGAACTCATCCACAATATCCACATTGACCGCCACAAATATCCACCACCCCTGCCATCAGCTCCCACGTCTCACACACACGAGCGCGACTTTAGCACTAGATTTAGCAACTTTCAGACCCTTTTAGCGGCTTTTTTCCATAGAATATTCATACTGACAAACCTAGAGACTTTTTTGGATAAACCTTGGCCATCGTTCAGATTTCGCCAGTGCTGTCCCGCGAACGCGAGGTCTCTCCTCTCTCGGCGTCTGTTCTGTGCAGTGAGCGGCAGAGAAGCAGTGCACTCAGTTGGCCGCACCGCTGCAGACTCGTCAATAAATGAGTACAAAACATTGTTTCCAAGCACCTGTTGCTTACTGTCTGTTTGGAATTATAAATATGAGCATAGTTCGTCTGCCAATATCATGCACTTTTTTTTTTCTTTTTTAGTTTGTTACTCAGACGCAGGCAGTGAGCTGCATGAGACAAAAAAAGTAATATAGCCAAAACCACTGCATAGCCGCTCTTTAGTGTAGATGCATGTTGATTTTATCAGACGCGATTATAAATTAGAGTGACTCCTGGTTAACATGTATTAATGGGTCTTTAGTCACTATTTAGTGTGGAAATTTTCTACAATATTCACTCATCATGACAGTAAAATAGGGCATTCTAAGTCAATCTCTATTTCCTCTCTCAATCAGTAGAAAATGTGGTTAACACCCGGTCATGCATTAGTGATGTGTCGTTCGCGAACGAGTCGGCTCTAAGAGCCGATTCTTTGTAGTGAACGAGAGGAGCCGACTCCCGTCGGGGAGAGCCGAATCTTCAGCCGGAGCCTTCTATTTTACACCAATTTAGCAATTGTGAATGGTTTGTGTGTTGGCAAGCAATTTTTTATTTAGTGTTTTCATAACAGCCTTATTTTTATGCATTTTTTCGTTACAAAAAAAAATAAATAAAAAATACACAAGCGGCTAATCACATGGGAGGACAAACTAGGATCATACCATTATGTGAAAGAAGAAGGGACACACGCTCCGGAGATAGCGAGTGTAGTGGTACAGGCCAGGTACACAGAGCGACAGAGAGGGACAGGGGAGCCGGATTTAAATGCAAGCGCGTTGGTTAAGGTAGGAAGACACTGCAATTTGTTGCAACATCGGTCCCCTCAGAGAGAGTCTTCTCAAAAACAGGACAAATAATCACAGAGAGGAGAAATCGCATCAGCACATCCAAGCTGAGGCATCTGATATTTCTGAATGCCAACCTGCCCTAAAGACTAAAGTGTTATTATAATTTTGAAAAATACAGTGATATAAATTTTTGGTCATACCACCCAGCACTACATCACATAGACTGACACATACCAGAGCTGGATATTCTGGGGGCTTGGAAGGATGTCGTATGTGGACCTAATTAGGAAGCTTAGTCTAGCAGGGTTCCCACTCTTTCATGAACACCAGATTCAAGGACTTTCAAGGACTTTTTAAAGCACCATTTATTTTATATCAAGCACCTATCAAATTCACACCCCAGCATATGTAGTGTTATGAAAGACCTTACATTACTTAGTTCACTTACACTAAACATTTACATAAAACATTT